GGCTCACAACACCAGCTGGCTTTTTTCTCTTAGGTGGGAAAGTGGGTCAGTTCTCCTATGGCCTCGAGTCGGCCTTTGGGGCCCACTGGGTCTGATCCATTCCCCCGCCCCTCACCTCCTCACCAACTCCCTTGCTTGGTGTGGTCCGGAGGACCGGCTAAAGGCAGCGGTAGGGGGAGCTTGCACACATGGCGCAGAAAGCTCGGGTTGCCAGTCGGCGTGGCTGCCAGGCTCTTAAGTTTCCGACTGACCACATCAGTAACTAAATATAGGAGCAGCTGGTGCGGAGGGGATGTCGCAGCAGCTCCTTTGGACAGATCTCAGGGTTGCAGATAAGGTAGAGTTCTTGCTGGTAAGGGTGGGGTGGTGGCAGGGGGCGGTCATCAGGGTTTTAGCAAAGATCATTCCTTTCCCCAAGCCTTGTATCCATGTGAAATCGGGTTGTAGGGATGGGAGGGCAGCATTGCCAGCTCCAACAAAACAGGGCAACTTTTTTTTCTGGCATGCAATTTACTATATCCTAACTTCTGGCATTCAATTTACTATATCCTTACTATATGTGAACCTGTCTAATCCACTTATTGGTAATGTGGGAAGCACTTAACGGTTTGTAAAGTTCTTTCTCAAAAGTTATGTATCATTTACTTCTCACGACAACCCAAAGAGGAAGGCGATCTTTTCATTTTACAAACGGAGCTGCTCCCAACATTGATAATTTACCAAAACACTGGTTGGATTAGGCTGCTCTTCTCAAAAACTTTCTGTAGCTCCTGACAGAGAAACAGAGGACAGATTTATAAGAGGTCATCCAACTCCATAATCTGGGAACAGGCTGGCTGCTTCTCCGCCTCCCTCCTGCATCTCTTTGGGCACCTGCTGCTCAGGCCCTGTCTGTGTTCCTTCTTCCCCCGCCATGCCATGCAGCTTCATGGCTGAGCATTAGGGCACATGCCCCTTGCACCTGGCACTGGGCTCTCCTGGCATCTGGCTCACTCTGCTTCTTGTTGGTGAGTCTCTCTTACCCGGTGGTGAGCTCATTTTGGCCAGTACCCTTTACTCCTCCCAGTGTGGGCCTTATATAAGGTGCCCAGGAGATGTTTGTTGGATTTAATCATTTCATGGGACCACGCTGAGGAAAGAGGAGTTGGGGATGTGTGGAGAGGGACATGTTGCAGGGACAGCAGTGGTGTATGAGCTTAGATCCTGTGCCTAAGGGTCCCCAGGATTTGAAATGCTTTCCTTGGAATTTTCTGAGGCCCCCCTCTAGTGCCTGGACTAGCTGGGGCCAGCAGTGTTGTCAGGTTGGAATGCTTCAGTTCCAGGCCAGATCAGAATGGGCTGGCGTTCCTGTTTCTCCCCTTTGAGGTCCTCTCCAATTCTCTACCACCACCACACCTGCATATGGGGTTGACCAGATGCCCCAGCAAGCCCAGAACTTGGGCCTGTGGCGTTGTCCCAGAGCCCTGTGGCTGAGTACTGGTTCTAGAAGGGCTGCCTTGTGAGCTGATCTTTCCCACTGGCTGGTATGATGCTTCTTTCTCAGAATTGCATGAGATTGGGCCACCAGATGGTATTGACACACTGACTCTGGGTGATTGAAATTGTTTATATAGACAGGGGTCTTAGTTTGAGTGCAAACTAAGGGATGGCCCTGCCTAGGGGGCTTTGTACCAGTCAGAGATGGGTCCATAGCTCTGTCTCTTATATGTGACTTAGCCAATTTTCTATCTTTCTTAGAAACAAGAGAACAGAAGTACAGCTTGCTTTCTTTTTTCCTTTTCCCCCTGTTCTCTCTTGGCTCTGCTACATGCTAAATGAATTCTTGCTATTTTGTGTCACACAGGCCCAGCCCTAGGGGTGAAAGGAGCAGTCAGTCAAGTTGAACAACCTCGTAGGTGCCCTTTCCGCATTCTAGGAGCCCATTCCAGTCTCCTCAAGTTTGCTCTCCCCTCAGTTCTGGGGGCCTCTTATCCCATCTTGGAGTCCGTGGGTGGCATAAAGGTTAATATACTGGACTGTTAACTGAAAGGTTGGGGTTTGAGTCTACCTAGAAGTGCCTTGGAAGAAAGGCCTGGCTGTCTGCTTCCAAAAAATCAGCCATTGAAAACCCTGTGGAGCACAGTTCTGCTCTGACACACGTGGGCTACCATGAGTTGGAATCGACTGGACAGCAACTGGTTTTGCCCCCTCCCACCCCCATCTTGGGACTTATACTACATGTGGCCCAGCCACCCTCCCATCTCTGGTTATCTTACCCAAGTTGCCCATCTGGCATCTTAGGCATTTGAATTTATGACCCTCCTCATTTAGACAGTGTCTTAGATTTCTTATAAGAGACTCTTGACCTGTATTTGGATTTGAAACTCAAATGGTGTCTGTTTATCGTCATCATGGGGGGATATTAATTGGATATTAATTGTGTTCGGTATGTGATTCAGGGGAGAGGTATAATATATGTGGACCTGCTCCTGCCTCAAGTTGCCCACAGGCCAAAGGAAGAAACATGTATATATATATAAATATATAGCTCGTAAATAACCCAAGTGGTTTGTGCTAAGACATTAAGTGCTGTTGAAACTTAGAGGGAGGAGAGAACAGTGAGGGCTGGGGCAATTGGGGAAGACTACCTGAAGGCAGGAAGTCTTCATTCCTTAAAGATGAGTTCCACTGAGTTGTTTGTCCAGAGTCACATGGCTATTAAAGTAGGATTAGTTGCTGGTGTCACGTCCACATGCTCACTGTTTTGTCCTCTCAATTAGCATTGATTGAGTACCTACACGTCCTGGGCTCTGGTCTAGACAGGCATGTACCTTTTTGTTCAATCCTCATGAACCCATAAAGATGAGTATGACTCCATCTACTTAATGAAGACACTGGGGCTCCAAGTGATTAAGAAAGTCTCCCAGGACTTCTCAGCTAATAAATGGCAGAGCTGGGCATTAGGCCTGTCTCTAAAAAAGTCTTTTCCCACTACATTGTGTGTCTTAAACCATCAGTGTCAGCTTCCTTGGTGAAACACACACACACTGAACACACCGCTAATTCTCTCCAGCAGGTGGGTGGGCCTGGCCGGGTTTTGCCTCTTGTCCAGTTGAGCACATGGAACCTTTTTCTTGGTGCTTGTTAGCAGCTCTGAGCACTGCCCCCACCCTTGTCCTTGACTCTCAGAGTGAGATTGTAGGAGCTTTCTGGGCCATCCATGATGCTGGAGGTGGGGGCGGGGTGGGGCAAAGAAGGGCACTGACTGGGGAGCTGTCCTTGGTCATTTTTCTCTGTGTGGGTGATGTGGGTGACTTTTGTAAAAAACGAACACCGGATATGGAGCTGGGCTGACCTGATGTTGTTAATTGCCATTGAGTCATTTGCGACTCCTGGCCACCCCATGTGTGCAGAGTAGAACTGCACCATAGGGTTTTCAAGGCTGTGACCTTTCAGAAGCAGATTGCCAGGCCTGTCTCCTGAGGCACCTCTGAGTGGTTTTGAACTGCCAACCTTTTTTATTTTTTTAAATTTTTTTATTATTGTAGTTTAAATGAATTTTACATTTCAAGGTAGTCTCCCATACAAAAATTTATACATACATTGTTATGTGACCCTAATTGCTCTCCCCATACTGTGACATCACACACCTCCTTTCCACCCCTGATTCCCTATGTCCATTCAACCAGCTCCTAACCCCCTCTGCCTTCCCATCTCACCTGTGGACAGAAGCTGCCAGTTTAGTCTCTTGTATCTACTTGAGCTAAGAGGCACACTCCTTACGAGTATCACTTTATGTCCCACAGTCCAGTCCAATCCCTGTCTGAAGAGTTGGCCTCAGAAATTGTTTTAGTTATGGGCTAACAGAGAATCCAGGGACCATGCTTTCTGGGGTTCCTCCAGTCTCAGTCAGACCATTAAGTCTGGTCTTCTTACTAGAATTTGAGTTCTTCACCCCATCTTTCTCCTGCTCCATCAGGGACTCTCTGTTGTATTCCCTGTCAGGGCGGTCATTGGTGGTAGCCGGACACCATCTAGTTCTTCTGGTCTCAGGCTGATGAAATCTCTGGTTTATGTGGCCCTTTCTGTCTCTTGGGCTAATACTTTCCTTGTGTCTTTGGTATTCTTCATTCTTCTTTACTCTGGGTGGTTGGAACCAATCAATGCATCTTAGATGGCCGCTTGCAAGCTTTTAAGACCCCAGACGCCTCTCACCAAAGTAGGATTCAGAATATTTTCTTAATAAGCTTTGTTTGCCAGTTGACCTAGATGTCCTCTGAAAGCATGGTCCCCAGACCCCTACCCCTGCTACTGTGTCCCTCAAAGTGTTCGATTGTATTCAGGAAACTTCTTAGCTTTGATTTAGTCCAGTTGTGCTGACTTCCCCTGTAGTGTGTGCTGTCCTTCCCTTCACCTAAGATAATTCTTATCTACTATCTAGTTAGTAAATAACCCTCACCCTCCCTCCCCACTCTCTTAACCATCAAAGAATGTTTTCTTCTGTGTTTAAACTTTTCTTGAGTTCTTATAATAGTGGTCTTACAATATTTGCCCTTCTGTGACTGACTAAATTCACTCAGCATATTGACCTCCAGATTCCTCCATGTTATAAGATGTTTTACATGAACTACCAGCCTTTTGATTAGTAGTTGAGTGCTTAACCATCTGCTCCACCTGCGGACTCCGGGCTGACCTGATAATTGCCACTTATTCACTTTGACCTTGACCAGGTCACTTAGCCCCTCTCTATGCCTCAGTTTCCTTCTGTGTCATTAACATGGAGTCGGGGATCTTTCTAGGGTCCCCAGGGCTCTAACATCTTGTAAATTCGTTTGTCTTCCTCACCCTTCTTTAAGCCTCTTCTCCCCCAGTGATCCAGTTCCCCTTCTCTCATTTCCCCCTCCAGTCTACGTCTCCTCTCCCTTGGGGTCTTGCAGATACACTCAGCTGATAATCAGACCTGTAGGATGACACCTCCCTTCCATCTTGACAGGTGAGAAGAGAATTCTTAGAGACCATCTGCCTGGCAGCCTGGGAGCTCTGATCAGGCAGGGCTGCAGTCTGGTCACTTTTGTGTTCCCACTTCCTGGCACACAGAGGAGCCTGGCAGAGCTGGTGGGTGAGTGGGGGGAGCTGGAGGAGTTGTCCTAGAGGGGTCTGGACAGGGCGCCAGCTCAGAGGCGTGGGTGAGGGACAAGTATCTTTCTCTGGCAGTTGGCTGTGCCCCGCCTCCTCCCACTGCTCTGCCCATTGAATGAGTCACAGGCCAGCACACACCTGAGCCCTCACTGGCTACCCGTCCAGGCCAGTCCCTGTCTGGTGAGGTCACACATGTCCATCCTCCCAGGGATCCTGTAGGGCCCGACTGCCCCCACCCTCTGACAGGCAGACTGCCCATTCCCAAGGCTGCACTGGATGTGGCCTGGGCTCTGGGCCCCGCAGGAGGAGGTGAGTGGCTTGGGGCTCTCCTGGCAGCCTGGGGCCCCCAGGGAGGAGGACGTGTGGGGGGTGGACACATGGGTGGGTCCCCTGGCTGGCGGGCACTTCATGGCCCTGCGTCTTCCCCAGGCGCAGGCCCCCTTGTGAGTAGCAGCCCAGCCAGGGAGCTGGTGGCAGGACACCCTTGTCTGCATGCTGAGGAAGATGGGGGAGGCCGTGGCCAGAGTTGCACGGAAGGTCAATGAGACGGTGGAGAGCGGCTCCGACACTCTGGGTGAGTGAGGCTGGGGCTGTGCCTGCTGCAGGCACCCTGGTAGTGGTGTGTGGAATCAGTTTAGAAATGAAATAGGAAGAGAAAATGAAAAGAATTGTCAGCATGCACCCCTCCCTCACAAGGAAAGTGTTCCATGGAACTTGTATTGTAATTATGTTTAGTTTAAGGCGCCCTGGTGGCACAAACAGCTGAGCTTTCAGCTGCTAACTGAAAGGTTGGTGGTTTGAACCCACCTAGCCACTCTGTTGGAGAAAGACCTGGCAATCTGCTTCCGTAAAGATTAGAGCCAAGAAAACCCTATGGGGTAATTCTGCTCTGTCACGTGGAGTCACTACGAGTCGAAATGAATCCATGGCACCTGACAACAACAACAATATTTAGTTTGTTATACTGAGTTCCATTGTAAGACGTGCTTCAGATTATAGGTCATAGTCAAAAGGTTTGAAAAACACTGAGTGACGGGGTTCTACCCACCTGGGGCCTGTGTGTGTGTGTGTGTGTGTGTGTGTGTGTGTGTGTGTGTGTGTGTGTGTGTGTGTGTGTGTGTGTGTGTGTGTGTGTGTGAGAGAGAGAGTGTGTGTGTGAGAGAGAGAGAGAGAGAGATAGTATGTGTGTACACATCCTTGGGCCAGGTGAAAATAAAGAGCTGAGAACAACTGTGCTGGGCGCCTCTTGAGCGTTATGTTATTTCATCTTTACCACCTCCCTGGGATGAATGATATCTACCAGGCACGATTAGCCTGGGTCTTCAGATGAGGAGGAGATGGCAGGTTGAAGGCAAAGGGGGCTTCTTTGAGATCTCCCAGCCTGGAGGCCCCTCTGCACTCCACAGATTTACTTGAATTGTCTTATGTATTTTTTGCTTGGAATTGTTCACAGTATTTTAGCCCATGCAGTTAAGGCAAGACTCCAGGCATTTCAACAAGCCATCTTCCTTAATTGGATTCAGCATTGACTCATTGACTATCTGCCTGTAAGGGACAGGAGGACATATAGTGCAGTTACCGTGTGTGTGTGTGTGTGTGTGTGTGTGTGTGTGTGAGTGACCCACTGGAATGTGTGTGCCCCAACAGAACCATAGACATGCTGTGGGGACGCAGAATAGGGAGCATAGTCCTGCCTTGGGGATGACTGTGCAGATGGAATAGGTGGGATCTGAGTTGGGCCTTTGGCACAGGGAGAGGAATTGGACAGGCAGGTGTGTATGTTGGGGGAGGGGGTTGTTTGTCTGCCTTTCTCATGAAGGAGCATTTCTGTGGAGGTCATTGCTTAAGCAAAGACCCAGAGACTGGAAAGTAGAGCATTTCTGTGAGTAGTCACTTGTCAGGTATGTCTGGAATGTAGGCTCCTGAAGTAGGGCATGGTGGCTCCGGAAGTAGAGGGACACTCAGCCTTTGGGATGAGCTTAGTCACCACCTCTCCCAGGAAGCTCTCAGTCCAACTCTACCCTCCCTTTGCTCTCTTCCTCCTCGGTAGCATTCATTCAGGGCCCAGGAAGGGCTCCCCCACCCAGGGCATAGCACGGTATCAGGCACTTTGTAAGTTCTTGGAGGTGTTTGCTGGAAGGTGGAAGAGGCATGTCCTCTACCAGCAAACCAACTTGAAAGTCATTTATTTTGAAGGGAAGACTCTGGAGAGAGCCTTAAGCTTGTGAGCTGGTGGCTATGGCCCCTCAGTAAAGGAATTCTGGAATCCTACACCTGTCACTATTATGGTTGCCCTTACCCCAGCATTCAAGTCTCTCTACCACTAATTTGGTGGCCGAGAGCCAGACTTTGGGTTACATGGACCTGGCTTTGAATCCCCACTCTGCCACCTACTAGCCTGGTACCTTAGCAGGTTGCTTAGCCTCTCTGAGCCTTGGTTTCTTCATCTGTAAAATGAGGACGGTGATTGTACTTGTCAGGGAGTTCAAGAGCAATTGTAATGTTTGTAAGGTGCTTGGCAAGCAGTGAACTCAATAAATGGCAGCTATGATTTTTAATTTTTCTCATCCCCAAGGGCTGGGGGTGAAGCCTAAGTCCAACCTCCCCCAGCCCCCACACCTCCTCCAGGTGTCAGCCTGCCAGGTCTTGGCTGAGTCTGCTTCATGTTGCCTTCAAGTGGTGGTAGGGTGGGGGTTTAGTGCAAATCAGCAAATTTCTGGAGTGAATCCCCTAAACCAGTTGCTGTTGAGTCGATTCCAACTCATGGCAACCCCATGTGTGTCAGAGTAGAACTGAACTGCATAAGGTTTTCTTTTTTTAATTTTTTTTATTGTGCTTTAAGTGAAAATTTACAGTTCAAGTCAATTTCTCATACAAAAATTTATACACACATTGTTACGTGACCCTAGCTGCTCTCCCTACAATGTGACAGGACACTCCTTTCCACCCCGGATTTCCCGTGTCCATTCAACCAGCTCCTTTTCCTTTCTGCCTTCTCATCTCGCCTCTGGAGACAGGAGATGCCCATTTAGTCTCATGTATCTACTTAAGCTAAGAAGCACACTTCTCACAAGTATCATTTTATGTCTTGTAGTCCTATCTAATCTTTGAAGAGTTGGCTTCAGGAATGATTTTAGTTTTGGGCTAACAGAGAGTCAAAGGCTGTGTCTTCCAGGGTCCCTCCAGTCTCAGTCAGACCATTAAGTCTGGTCTTTTTACTGGAGTTTGAGTTCTGCACCCCACTTTTCTCCTGCTCCGTCAGGGACTTTCTGTTGTATTCCCTGTCAGAGTGGTCATTGGTGGTAGCCAGGCACCATCTAGTTCCTCTGATCTCAGGCTGATGGAGTCTCTGGTTTATGTGGACCCTTTTGTCTCTTGGGCTAATATTTTGTGTCTTTGGTGATTTTCATTCTCCTTTGCTCCAGGTGGGTTGGGACCAATTGATGCATCATCGATGGTGGCTCACTAGCTTTTAAGACTCCATAGGGTTTTCAGTGGCTGTAATCTTATGGAAGCAGATCACCAGGCTTTTCTTCCATGGCACTTCTGGGTGAATTCAAACCACCAACTTTTCAGTTAAGTAGCGGATTCCAGGAGGCAGCAGTGGGGGACAGGCTGGAGAGACCACCACAGAGATGTGACTGCAGCATGAGGTGGTGATGAGGGATGGTGCCCAGCTGGCAGAGCCTTGAGGGCCGAGCTGAGGAGTCTGGACTTCAAAGTCTGTGGCCCAGGGATTGCAATCTGCGATGCCTCTGCAGGCCACGGGGGTGTTCCTGTGAACTGAAGGGTGGACGCCCTGCCACGAGGTGGAGCGCACACCACATCTAAGGTAGCAGCTACTCCCCTGTGTGCCCCAGTGAATGTGCCTCCCTCGGAACCCACCTCGGTGTCTATAATTGGGACCCCAGCTGTCTGACATAGAGCCTGGCCCCTCTCCCCACCATGCTGCCCTGGGGCGTGGATGTGAGGTCATTAGTACAGCATCAAATCAATTCATGGAGCTGAGTAAACCCTTTAGCCATGGGTGGTCTTGGCCAAAGCTTATGACTTGCACGTGGAAGTGACTGGGTCTTTAAAGTTAGCTTAAAACAATAGGGGGACTTTTTAACCTCTTAGCAGACTGTATATACAGTAGGATATCAATTAGGTCCCTGAATGGTGCAAGTAGTTTGTGATCATCTGCTAGCCTAAAGGTTGGTGGTTTGAACCAATTATATTACGTATATACATGTAGAAAAAAGTTGGAAGGAAATAAAACAAGATGCGAAGGGTAGTTAGAAAAGACGATTCTGCATTTTCTGAGAGAAATCAGCTGCTTATTCTCTGTGGTGGCCTCTGCTGTCCGTCCCCTCAGTACTGCCTCCTGGAATCTGCTCTCCACAGCACCTCACCCGTGAAGCTGTTTAACTCCCCTGGTCAGAATTCACCTCTCCCCTCCCCTGCCTCCAGCCCCTACCGCACTTCACACATCTGGGTGAGACTGGTGAAATCTCCCACCAGGCCACTGTGGGTGCCCACAATCCTGGTCCTTGGGAAGGTGGAGCCGATCAGTCTTGCAATCTGAGAGGCCTGGGCTCTAAGCAGTCAGCATGCATTGAGCACCTGCTGTGTGCAGAGTGGGGAGGGGGCTCCCAGGCATGTGTACAGTAGAATCCTGGACTGGAGACTAGCCCCCTACCCGTGAGACAGTCAGAGAGCAGTGAATGACACACAGGATCCATGCTAAGATGTGTTGGGCAGATCACAGGTTGTTATAATTCAGAGGTGGGAGATGGTGCTGGGTACTGAAGTAGTCCAGGAAGTATTCCTGGAGAAGGTGGGAATTGAAATGGATCTTGAAAGATAGGTGAAGTAACTCAATATGGTTCTCAGTTAAATAGCAAACAATCTGAAGCAGCATCAGAAAATTGCTTAAATAAATTTTGTTACAGCTATACAATGCAAGTTTATGTAGTCGTTAACAGTGGTGCATAAAATCTCGGTGTGTGCCTGAATGAAGACTAGCAAATTCTCGGGTATGATGTGAACTGGGGTGTGGTGGGGGGACAAGGATCCCAAAGTATATGTACAGTAAAGTATCAGTTAGATCCCAGGGTGGGACAAGCAGCTTGTGATCAGAGTTTGCGATTTTGCATTTTCTAAATGTGATGAATGTATTACAATTAGAGAAATCTATAAGAATAGATTTTAGATTCCACTAGAGAAGGTGGAAATAAAGCACATTTCCCAAAAACAGACAAGAGTTTCAGGAGCAGTCCATCCTCTAAGCCCTCGCCCTGACAGTGGTTGGGGCTTCCCTGGCTTCTCCCCTTCTGCTGGCCCCCTGCCCTGCCTGTCCCAATGTGCGCAGACCCGGTGGGTTGGCTGCTCTGGAGCTACAGGTGTCTCTGCAGAGTGGGTGCTCCCCTGCAGAGACTGGGCTGGGAAGAGCTCACTTATGGGCTCGCTCTCATCTTACGCAGGTAGTTAACTCTGTGTCAGCATCGCTCATGCGTGTCCAGGTGCTCCTGAGCGCACTGGAAGCTGAGGTGAGCTTTCTCCTGCTGTAACCTGAGCTTTGGATCCTAGCCC